ATGTGATAATTATAAGGATTTGCTTTGTCGATGATAAATTAATCTAAAGATTGGTTTGTTGTTGGACGTGCTTTATTGTCAATGTTTAGATGACCCCTAACAATTAATATTACTTGTCCAAAGACTTGATATTGATGGTGCATTGAATGTCTTGATATGTGGTTAAACCATTATTTGAATATATATTTATAATTAATTATTTTTATTTTTATATTGTGAGCATAATTAGGTTATTTCTCTTGTTCTATATTCATCTACAATTGCTTACGTATCTATCAATTTAAATTCGTTCCGATCCTCAATAGAACACATTTTAAGGATCTGGAAAGAGAACATTGATATTATTTTTGGTTGCATGAATATGGATCTTGCGTTAAGGACTAAGCAACCCCTACTCCTATAGATTTAAGTACCTCTTAACAGAAGAAAGATTATGAGAAGTGGGATTGCTCAAATCACATGAGTCTAATGATCATTAAGCGCGACATCTTGGAGGTGTTTAGTGGCACTGTTTCTGAAAACATCACAAGTTTCAAAGAATTCTTTGCTGAAATTGAGCAACACTTTGCAAAAAGCGATAAGGCGGAGGCAAACACTCTTCTTCAGAACTTGATCTCCATGAAATATCAGGGCAAAGGAAATATCAGGGAGTATATTAAGGGTAAAAGAAACAGATCGGAGGATCCCATTAAGGAAGCTACTAAGGGTCCAGAACAAAAGAAACAAACTTAGGAAAACAAATGTTTCTTTTGCAATAAGACTGGACACGTAAATAAGAAATATGTCAAATATCATGTTTGGCGTGAAAAGAAAGGGTTGCCTAAACTACCGGAAACCAACTGATTCTGAGAGATGAATATTCGTTGAAGATGACAAATCGGTGGAGGTGGAGGCTATTGAGCATTTTAGATTATTATTGTGTATTGGTTTTTTATTTAGATTTGAAAGACACTTTTGTCGTGCCGTCATTTAGACGGAATTTCAATTTCTTATTTGGACAAATCATGTTATTTTTGTTCATGTGGAACCAATGAATTCAGTTTATCTTTTAATTCAAATATTGTTGAAATTGGTTCACTTTTAGCTTATGATAATCTGTATTTTCTTGACATTGTGGCCACCTATAATGAAACTCTTAATACAGAGTCTCATGATACTAAACATAAAATTGACAATACTCACTCAGGTCTATTATGGCACAGGCGTTCAGGTCACAATCTAATCGTGTCGCTTGGGCTTGTGTTACACTTTTAAAGATATGGTAAGGAATATGATTTGTCATTCCACATTACAGGAATCACTCTGAGGAGAGGCACTAAAGACGACAACTCATATTCTAAACAAAGTACCAACTAAAGCAGATACCAAAACACCTTATGAGCTTTAGACTGTGCAAGAGCCTAGTCTGAAGCATTTCCATGTGTGGGGTTGTCCAGCTGAAGCAAGACCTTATAAGCTAAATGAAAATAAATTGGACTCTCGAACAGTAAGTAGTTACTTTATTAGTTATTCTGAAAGATTAAGGAGATATAAATTTTATGATCCCACATTAAAGATAATTTTGAGACGGGAACTGCTACGTTTTTTGAGGATATTGAGTTTGGGGGGAAGAATAAGATTAGGAACTTTGTCTTGGAGGAATAATCAGTAACAATTTCAGAACCGATTCAAACAACTAATTTTGATAAAATAAGACATTGATGATGAATCATATACTCAAGATGATTTGGTTGTTTGTCAAGAACAAATTCAAGATCCTGTTCATCAAGAAAAAACTCAATATCCTTAAGAACATGTGCATCATGAACTAATAACTTTGCGGAGATCCAATAACAATGGTATGATGGAAGATGACCCAGTTAATTTCCGTCAAGCCATGTAAGGTTTGACATGCATGAAAGTAAATCCAGGGATACCCCAGTTGCTAAGGGAGACAAGTTTAGTCACAATCAGTGCCTAAAGGGGAATTTGGAAATTGAGGAAATGCAGAAGATTCCCTATGCATCAACTATAGGGAATTTGATGTATGTCCAAGTATGTACGCGTCCAGACATAACATATACAGTTGGGGTTCTAGGCATATATTTAAGTAATCCAGGAATGGATTATTGGAAAACAGCAAAAAGGGTCATGAGATATTTAAAGAGAACAAAAGATTATATGCTCATATACAGGAGGTTAGACCAATTAGAGATCGCTGAGTTTTCTGACTCAGACTTTGCAGGATGTCAAGATAGTTTGAAATCCACTTCAGGTTACATTTTCCTGTTGGCAGGTGGTGCGATTTCTTGGCGCAATGTCAAGCAAACCCTTACAACTTCATCCACTATGACAGCAGAATTTGTAGCATGCTATGAGACATCAAATCATGGAATATGGCTGAGAAATTGTCACAGGGCTGCAAATTGTGAAAAGCATTGAAAGACCACTTAAGTTATATTGTGACAACAAATCAGTTGTATTGTATTCCAAGAATAATAGGAGCTCGACTAAGTCAAAGCACATTGACTTAAGTTCCTAGTTGTTAAGGAAAGAGTATAAAGTGGACAAATTTCCATAGAACAATTAGGGACAACCTCTATGATAGCAGATCCTCTAACTAAAGGACTTTCGCCCAAAGTCTTTCATGATAATGTTGCTCACATGGGTGTTTTACAGAGGAATTTGTGGTTTAGTGGGGGTTAGTCATTTTCATATATTTTATGCTCTATGTTTAATTTCATGTATGTATACATTGATTTTTTGGACATATTTGATTATCTATAGATATGCGATTTTCGTTTATTCATTACACTTTGTACATTAACGTTATTATATCGATCTCAATAAGTTAAAGTTTGGACCAATTGAAAATAGACGTGTACAGATCACCTTCACGTAATTTTTCATGCTACACATTTCATGATGAATCCATGTCATTTGGTTTTGTCAGGATTAATAGTCATTGTTGGTTTTAGTTGCGATGATACAATGAAAAACTGGTTTGGTTCTATATACTGATATGATCAATGGATGAGACTTTTGAAGTATGCTAAAGGAATATAACGACAATTTTGAGTTCATAAAGTCTAATACATTTGTAAGGTTGTAAGGACATATATATTTGTGACCAATGAGAGATTATTGACAAATTTTGGGTCATATATATATGATACATAATTTAAATGTGTTAAGGTTATTATTTATTAAGCTAACTAATAAAATGATCTTACTAAATTAAAATTTTGGCTAAAGACATATGTCATGAAAATAAAATTGTGTAGAGATCATAGAGTAATTTCTAATTTGATGAGGAGCCAAATTAGAAATATTAAAACTTAAGTAATTAACATAATTCTGGTTATTTAAAGATCATGGTCCCCTTCTGAGAGCACACACATAAAACGTAAGTCTCAATTTTCGTTCATTTCTTTCTATTCCCATCAAGAGAGAAAATTCAGAGGGAAAATAAAAGTGTTCTTTAGGTGGAAGACTATAAGATCAATAGTATTCTAAAAGGAACATCATCATTATGACTAATTCAGGTACGCTTTCGCATTGAGTCTCTAATATGTTTATGAATATGAAATAATGTTTATGTTTTAATCGTTAAAATCAAAATCAAGATCATAATTATTAGTTTACTAACATAATATACTTCAGAGTTTATTTTAAAAAGTTTCAAATTCAGTTAATTATATTTTATTTAGTAATTCTTTTTTAAAGATTGTAATGATGATATATTTATAAGTAATTAGGTGATGATGCGATTTTTAGGTCAACAAAAGTAAATGATTCAAAATGTTTTTATCATTAATTGTTTTCATAAAAATACCTTGTTTATATGAAATATTTTTGAGTTCAATTAACAGTAAACTTATGTTCTTTACGAGTTAAATTATATCTTGTTTACAAAGTATTTACACAAATTAAAAACAGAGAATAAACATATTAATAACGATAAATTAAATTAATTAAAAAAATAAAAATATATAAATTTGGGATAAATCTTTTAGTGCTAATAATTAAATTAACTATTTTTATTTAAGACTAATTAATTAATTAATTTATGTAAATAAATAAAATAATATTTATTTATATTTATATGAACATTAATAAAATTAAATGCTACATTAATACTGAAGTCAAATTTACTAATAGATATAAATTAACGGTCTTTAAAACTGAAACAAATTATAAACACATTCTTGCTAACCACTCTACCATGGGACAAAATTGTTGAGAAAAACCATTAATGGGTGAGTAAAAATTTTAATATTTTACTTTCTACTTTTATTTTGCTAAGCAGAATTCCATAGGCAAAAACTCCAAATTGGAGATACTTGCTCTTTGCCTCAATATTGTTGGGCAAAATTTATCCAACTTAACCTCATTCTTTATGCCTCCATTTAGCTGAACAAAATTCAATCCACTGGACTGACTAATTATGCAAAATCATCAACTATGACTCAACAACTGTCACTAAACCTCAACTCAAAACTTAAAGTGTTTAACCCTAACTATTTATTCTAAGTTATTAATTCAAATAAACATACAATTCTACTAAAGTGTCGCATGTTAAAGATACATATCATGGTCCATTTAGTTGGGTGGAAGAAAGATAATAGAAGAAAAACTGACATTTAAGTTGAAAATAAAAAAGCTAAAAGGATAAAAAAAGAAAATTATTTATACAAGTACATTTTCTCTTTATTTCCTTCTACAAACACAGAGCAATATATCAAGAACATGAGAACTGTTACAAGGTTTCTCATTAAAATTAAAATTTCACTGCAGTATTATATGTTGATGTTAATATAAACTTTTAAAACACATTACCAAGATAAAACTATAATTTATTAATTAAATAACACTTGAGAAATTGTATCTGGTTTTGTCCTCCATAGTTATCAATTTCCAAAGCCTACAATGCACCACAATTAAGGCAAGACATAGTAAAGCATCATATCATGCATATCATCCATCATGAAATATAACTGATCATCCTTTGTTGACCAAAACTAGTCAGTGATCATTCCTATACTACTGGCAGCACTATACACAAGATCATGGCTAACTACATTACAAGTCAATGTAGGATGGTAGGATGTAAGGTGATAAGAGGTCATATATACTAGCTATGTATTTCTTGAATGAACACTTTGCTGCCTGACAGCTTGATTTTCGACTTGCATATCATATACTCAGTTCATGGACTAGATATTACTTTCCAATTGAGTATCACTGTTCTGGCTGGTTTCATCTTTGTTGCTATGCAAGTCCAAACCATGATCCAATTCAACAATGTTTGAATCCTGTAACACATTGATATGTAGACTAATGTTAATAACTATTAAGGGGGTTGGCAAGTTGGCTACATAGAGCCCCAATACATTATGCATTCTATGAATCACAGGATGTCATTCAACTCAGTCACATTCCAAATCTTCAAAGATAAGGTCATGCTGTAAATGGTCATCCTCTCAATTGCCTTACACGGCCCTCCTCTTTTATCTGATTTTAGGACCATTTATTAAATGCAACATAGGCAAAGATTATATAGTATAACACTGGAATTGGAAAAATGGTTTTGGAATCCCCAAGGGACAATGATAGAAGTCTTTACATTTACACATGATTGTTCTTTTGGATGTTAACATTAGATTTGTGTGTGTCAATAAGTAACTTAGTAAGCAAAGGATAATCCAAGGGCAGTCTGATAAAAGTGAGGAAAAATATAAAGTTGGCGCACATCAAATCCTATGTCAACTTCAAAATAAAGTTAAAAAATTGAAACCAGAGTACTAAACCATTCAAAACAGGAATAGAGAACTCTGTTACTTTACCTTGGTTTCCTCCAACTTTTCATTCATGTTCAGTTTCCCTTGCATCTCATGGGTGACATTTTTCTGTCTGGCGGCTGATTGGTCACTCTCAGTTGCGGATTCATGCTCTTCCTTTACAACCATCATCTTTTTCTGTTCATCTAGCACAGCAATCTGCATCACGGAATTGATCAACCCTCCCTCAGTCATGATAAGGACTCATTTGACAGAAACTATGATGCACCAAAAAAATAATACATAAACCGGTTTACTTTGTCATTTTTCTTGATAAAACCTACTACACTTGTTGGGTGAGGTAGTTCCTTCCCTAACTTCATCTGTACAACAATTTTCCTTGACATAACTAGTTTCTACCAGCAGAAAAGGATACAAACTGCAATACTCAGCGGAACCACAATCTCGCCGCCCCCCCCAAATAAGGACTAATGCAACCTTGTAAATATAAAATAATCTTATTGATATATATCCACTTTTTCTTCTATATCATTTCCTCTCTATTTTCTGTCCCCATAATTCTCTGCTCTTTTCCCCTCGTATTACTTATCACATCTATCACTTTCTTTCTTTACCTTCTTCTATCCTCCACCCCTATACATCCCATTTTGGATGAACTTTACATTTATCCATAAAATGCTACCGAGGAAGGAAAACGGGGAAGAATACAAATTTTTAAAATTTTAAATAAAGAGAAAATAAAAGAAAAGAGAATTTTGAATTGTTACTTCTATGAAACTTCGAACTATAATCAATCCAAACTGAATGACACTGTCTGATCCCCCATATCCAATATCTCCCAGTGAGACAAGACTCTGTTATTGCTGTTGTTGTACTTCTGAATGTAATTTTTTTTTTTTTCATTTTCTCCTTCAACCAAATAAAAATAGAGAAAAAAAAATGAGTTTTTTTATCCCTGTACTTTTGGCCAAACCTAATTTTAGTCCCTATACTTCCAAAGTAATGAATTTAGCAGGCAAGCTCCAAAAACATATGTGAATTTAATCCCTTTTCCAACTTTATAACAATCAAAATCCATCACCAAATATTAAATTTAAACATGGGTAGGGACTACATTTACATATTTTCAATAAATTAGAGAACAAAATTCATCAATTTGAGAGAACATAAACCAAAATCAAGTTTCCCAGAAAGTATATAGACTAAAGACATTTCCCCAAAATAAATAAATTAGTAATCTGTATTCTGTCATCTTTCTGTTTTCTTCCCTCTCTTCCACGTATATCAGTACTACCCACCTAAAATCACAGATAAAGCAGCTAACAAACCATCTTTCTCAAAACCCCAAATCCCAACTCATGCAACATGCAAACAAGCAATCCAACCCAACGCTTTTCGTTCCACCGAAAAATCCCAAACACACCTAACCGCCACACCTCATCAACACAACACAGGAACTTAGACAAAAAATCGAAACTTTTCACCGCAAAACAAAACCCCAATTAAATATTCACAAAATTGCAAAAGGGAAAAAAGAAAAGAAAAAAGGGGGGACAGCGACAGATAAAGGCATACAGGGGTGTAACGGAACTTCCTCCTGGGAGGCTCGTCGGAGACGGTGGCGGCAGCGTCATCGGCGGTGGTGGGGGTCCAGCGGCGGAGGAGGAGGCGAGAGGAAGCGTTGGAATTGGCAGGAGAGTGCGCGTTGTTGGCAGTGATGGTGTTGGTGTTGCTGGGTGAGGAAGAGGGAGTGACGTGCACCCACTTTTTCTTCCACTTCCTGACGGGGCCCGTGAAGACGGTGGCGGTGCCGTAGCGAGAGGAGGCGCGGCTGAGTCTGGAACCGACGGCCTCCATCTAGCTGCGGTGGCGGAGGAAAAAGAGGGTTTAGAGTTTGAGTTTGCCACCGAAGAAGTGGCAGAGTGTGAAGTGAGTTACTTTTGTCGTGAAAGGAAGGGATGGAGAAATCATGAGCGGTACCTTTCAAAGGTATTATTATTCCAAGGAAAACTGATGCGCTGGCAGGGTTACGTGTAAGCTTTTGTTATTTTTTTCAATGAAAAAAAAATTAAATTTTAATAACTTTTATTAAAATTTAATTTTCTATTCATTTGGTTTATTAAGTTTGTGAAAAGATTAATACATTTATAAATAAAATAAAGTACGTGGTTGATTAGTAGGTAAAAAATAAAATAAAAATTAGATGTATGATAATTTTATGAATAAAATAAATTATATAAATATTTAATTTTTTAAAATTTTATTTTATTATGTCTTTTTATTTTTAATTTTTTTATATTTTTATCATGTTTTAAATATATAAATCATAATAGTTGTTTTTTAAACGGTTTAAAAAATATTTTTATATATAATTATAGATTAAATATTTATACTAAATAATAATATTTCATTATACGTTATTAACTATTGATGTGATAAATTTGTAGGTTTGAGAATTTAAAAAAATGAATAAATATTAAAATAATTTATTTATTAAAAGTATAAAGTTTTTTAGAGTTTACTAACAATTTTATTATTATTATTATTATTATTATTATTATTAATAATAATATATATATATATATATCATCTTTTAATATTTTAAAAAAACCTATATAACTAATTTTTATTTATTTTTGTATTAAAATATAATTATCATAATTATAAATAATATATAAATAAAAAAGTATTAGAATTATTTTAATATATAAATAATTTTATTTTAATTTCTAAATCGAACATATCAGTCTTAGATTAACAAAAATTTTAAATAACACGATACATTATTAATCTTTTAAATAACTTTTAAAAAATTATATTAAACTTAAATATTTAAGATTAACACTGGTTAATATTTCAACATCTTTTATTATAAAATTTATTTAAAATTTTGTTTTTAAACGTATAAATTGTCTAAATATACTTAATCATAAAATTTTCTTATAATTTTATTTGTCTCCAAAATACATATGATATTATAGTTCTTAATATATTATTTTTAGTGACTCAATTATCCAAATAATAAAAATATCTATCATTTTTTATAATTTGATATTTTCATCTATTTCATTTTAAACAAACATATTTCAAAATATTTTCTTACGTCAGAATTACAAAAGTTGGTGAAAATTTTATTTTCACTCAAGAAAATTCTACTTATATATCTATTTTCGAAGCAAAATATTGATTCTTACATATTAAATATGTCAAAGTTTTAGTTTATTAGTAAATTTCCTACAATAGCTAACTAGATTTAGTGCACTCTTATTTTGTTATAATTACGTGTCTTAAGAATTCCATTTCACCTATCTGAAACCTATATTTAAATAATTTCACATACAACTATTTTTCCCACAAAATCAATATAAATATTATCAACAATATATTATTAGTAAATAACAAATAAATATAAAAATATGAAAATCAAAATTATAAATATATAAGATATTTAAAAATCCATAATTGAGGATTTATGATTTGATGAATTAATACAAGTAGTATTCTATAAGATAGATATAAAAATCAAGGTATCATCAAATTTTTAGTGAAAATTGAAGATATTTAAAAGATAATCTTTAAATTTGAAGAATGAAGATATTTAAAACACAACCTTTAAATATCGATTATGATAATGCCTTTTAAGACTAACGAATGTCCTGACTCTATTCATGAATTTGATAAATGAGATTTTTTATTCATTTATAAACAAGTTTGTAATATAAACAATAGTGTTTATGTCTGTACTTTCGAGGACAATAAATAGTACCTTAAAACAATTTTGGACATTTTGAGCAACGAGTGAGCTTTTTGGACATTTTATTATACTTAATATATTGTAAGCCTAAAATGTGAGTAAAATATAACAATAATAAATTATGTAAGAATAAACAATTATTCCCACATAATTCAATTTACTGTAGGAGAAGAAATGAAATGGTGTGACACTCACTTTTTTTTTTTCATCAAATCTATACACAATTTTTAAATATTATTTTCTTTACTTTTTCTGGATCTTATCTGTTATTGAACACTGTGTAATAGAAATTTTGTAAATAATATATTTATTAATTAAAAAGTTAAAAGAGAATATATTTGTAACACAAGTGTCTTATCATGGATTCATTGTAAAATTTCAAGCTATGTGATATGTTTATAAATAGAGCGACTCGATGGGAAGTTTATGTTATTCTATTTTTAAAGAAACTTTATGAGAATAATTATCGATGAACTTGAGTGCTAGACTATTTTTGCGGCCACCAAAAAGAATTTCGGCACTTCATACCGATGAACTTGAGTGTTAGAGTATTTTTTAAGACACCAAAAGAGTTTCCATAATCCATGTCATGAAACATTTTTCAAGAACTCACCTATCAAGTAATTGGTTGGAACAATAAAGTTGAAGAAAGGGATTTGCAAAGAGGAGACTTATTGTTAGACCATGTAAGAATATAATTGGGGTCGATTTTGAGAACCACAATCTACTACAATTTTGTAATTCTTGTATAATTTATGATTTTAGCTAACAAACTTAATGGTTATTTAATATATTTATAATTTTATTTTCTTAGTTTCTCTTCAGCTTTGTAACTCTCACATAATTTATGATTTCGATTCTCCAAACTTAATAATAATTTAATATATTTACTTATATATTTATAATTTTATCCTCTCACTCTTTTATATTCTTTCATCCTTTTATATTTATTTATTTATTAATAATATATTGTTTGATCCCCCAAATCAATAGTCAAGATTCGCGATTACTTAAGGCTGAGAAACAACCAATGGTATCCACTAGGAACATGACAAATGCAGATAGATAAATTCACCTGAAAGAAGAGAAGAGCAGAGCAGTAAGACGACTCATTTCACAGAATTAAGAAAGGAGCTTGAAAATTTCAAGAAATAAAGCTCAAAGGAAATATTGGCGCTGAAAAGAGAGAATGATAGAATTCGAAATAGGCTGGAAGAAAAGGAGGGAAAGCACATTTCGGAAAGTCCTAGGACATCCAGAACGAAGAGTAGTCTAGCAAGTTCTGTTGAAAAATTAATAGTAATTATAATCCTGATTTTGATTCTAACTATCAAATATAAACATTATATCATACTCATAAACATGTTGTAAACTAAATGTGAAAGCGTACTTGAATTAGTCATAATTATGATATCTTTGTAGAACACTATTGATCTTATGGTCTTCCACCTGAAGAGCACCTGTATTTCCCTCTGGATTTTCTCTCTTGATGGGGATAGAAAGAAAGGAACGGGACTGAGACTTACGTTCTATGTGTATGCTCCCAGAAGGGGACCATGACCCTTTAAATAACCAGAATTAGGTTAATTACTTAAGTTTTAATATTTTCAATTTGGTCCCTCATCAAATTAGAAATTGTTTTATGGTCTCTACACAATTTTATTTTCATGACATATGTCTTTAGCCAAACTTTTTAATTTAGTCAGATCACTTTATTATTTGACTTAATAAATAATGGTCCTAACACATTTAAATTATGTATCATATATATACATGACCCAATATTTGCCAATAAGTTCCTGACCCCTCTCACCTCCTATGCAGGTCCCAATTCACTCCCACACGAGTGATTCGAAAACAACTCAATGGATGATGCAATACTGTGTCGAGTGTTTCCAACCTTGCTGAAAGGTGCAATACTAAAGTGATTTACTAGGCTTCTGCCGTATTCGGTTGATAGCTTTGAGACCTTGGTGACAAAATTTGGAACTCAGTTCGCCATGAGTCGATCGCACCATCTCACATCACCAACCCTCGTCAACATAAGGCAGGAGAAAAGCAAAAGCCTTCAGACTTTCATGGAAAGATTGGGAAAGGTCACCCTCCACATAAGAAACCTATGCCCGAAAATTGCTCTGCATCACCTAGGTACCGCCTTAAAGCCAGGTCCTTTTGCCGATAACCTATGCAAAAACCCAGAAAGAGACCTAGATGAGTTGCAGAAAAGAGTGGCAAAGTTCATGCAGTTAGAGGAACTAAGGAAGTATGTAATGAGGTAAGAGCTAGCAACTTAGCAGATAAGCACGACCGAAAAAAATCGAGGGAGGAAGTTATAGTCACATAACACGACCCGGGAGCCAAGAACACCACAATTCGCCTATTACACTCCCCTAAACGCCAACAAATCTCGAGTACTAGAGGAAGCAATGAGCGCAGACATACTCCGAGCGACAAGGAAGATCCCTACCCCCCTCACGCTGACCAAAGCAAGTACTGTCAATATCATAGAAGCTTTAACCACACAACTAAAGACTGCGTTATGGAAGAAGACTGAAGAACTCATCCAAGCAGGGCACTTGCGGGAGTTTATAATCAAGACAGACGACTGGGGGACAAGTAGAAGGAACACTGTGAAGAGCCTGAAAATAGAGTCGTTAGAATGAACTCAGACCTTGGCGAACCGCGAGGTAGGCTTAGGAGGATCATTAACACCATCGTCCGAGGATTCACAGGTGGTGGAACCTCCAATGTTGCAAGAAAAAGACACTTGAGAGCCGTTAGAGCAATACACACGATAACAACGATTACCCCACTCAAACATGTGATGCCTACCATCACCTTTACTAACGTCGATTGTCAGGTAATAAACCCAATGTTAGACAAATGACATCTAGAGGGGGGTGAATAGATGCACATATTAAAATAGATGTCAAATTAAAAATTTATTTAAGTCAATAATTTGTTTGAACACAAATAAAGCGGAAACAATAATATAATCAGGAAAAGAGAAAGAGATAAGGTGTTAAGTGGTAAAAAGTTGATATAATTATGCCTTGAATTGTTATGAAACCACTTAACTTATGTTAATTCTAATATATTTTTC